CAAGGTAGGAGCCGCCAGTAGATTTACTTGACCACTGAGCCAAAACGAATTCCGCCGGTGATAGGACAGCAAGTGATAACAAGAGACTAGATGCCATCCCCTCCATATAACATGGGCCTCTGAAGAGAAAACCACAAAAAGACTTGGTGAATTGACAATTTACATGGAATATCCAAGTACAATAATTGGACAAGCTATTTCAATTCTCTGGATAGTTCGGCTAATATCTCTTGTTTCCTCCATACCCTTTATCAGAAGTTTTCTCTGTATACTTCCTGCCGGTGCGTCACTCAAAACTTGTCAAATAGAGCAGCTACCAATGCTTGATAGTTGTTACAGCTCTCAGCTGGACAGTTGCTTAATGTCTTTAAAGCTGGTTCTTTTAAGTGAACAGCAAGATGAATAGCTTTTTGCTCATTATTTGATTAGTTCACTTTGGAAATTATTTCGAACTGAGCTTGATATGCCTTCCATGATACCTTTATATCATAGTTTGTTGATTTCTCAATCAGACAATGCTGTTAAATTGCTCAGTTGAATATTGGAACTGAACTTGGTAGTGGTCAGAATAGTCCAGAAAGTTCTTTCAATAACAGATGAAACATCATTAATGGTAATGGCTGTAAACCAAATAAATTCCATTATCCTATATTTTGTAGCAGACAATGTTTTAGGTTGGGATTCTTGGGCAGGTGCGGAAAGAGGTACGGTTGGTTTAATTTTTGTATCGCAAAATTCATTTTTCAGATGTTCTTTTCTACCTCATTGATCTCTTTTGTATTTATTCAATTTTGTCACAATAGCCTTTAGGTTTTTCATTAAGTCTTTTCTTTACTTCTTCCATCTTATTTTTTATTTTTTCTATACATCTTCAAATGATTAATAAATCTTCTCTTCAACCATGTATCAATTTTTTTCTTAATTCTTCTTTAAATATTTCATCTCTTTCTTTTAACTCTTCTCTTAAAATCCTGTCTTTCAATTTTTCGTCTTTTTTTCATTTTTGTCTTTTAATTTTCTGTCTCCTTGTTATCCTTGCCCCTCAGTGGCACAGCGGTATGTCTGCGAACTCACAACACTAAAATCCGGGTTTCGATACCCGTGGTGAGCAGAGCACAGATAGCCCATTGTGTAGCTTTGTGCTTTCTATTGATTTTCAGTCTCTTTCTTCATAGTCTTCGTTTAAATTTCTGTCACTTTCTTCTTGGTCTTATTTTAATTTGCTGTCTCATTCTTCTTTTTTTTTACTGCTCCCTCCCAGTAGTTCAGCAGTAAGACTGAAGCTTTATAATTCTAAAAACCAGGTTTCGATACTCATGGTGTAGCTTTGTGCTTAATAACAACAACAAAAAAAACCATCTTATTTAATTTTTCTGTCTCGTTTCTCTAATTTTTTGTCTTTTTTTGTTGACATTCTTTTAATTGTTTTATGATCTCTAATAACAATTCGATCTCTCTGATTGAATTGTTATGTTGAAATTTCACCAAAGTTCTATTTCAATTCTAATTTCACCAACGTAAGCTCACTTCTGACACCAGGGTTGCAACATGTTCTTTGGTTTGACGAGTTCTTTTAATTTATTTGGGGAAAATAATGTGAAGTTCAATCAAAACAACGACAATAATTTAATTTATTTCTTCCTTAACGTCTGCTACTGGTTACTATAATTTCTGTACAGTTGTCAATCTAAATTCGCAAATAACTTTTTCACTTTCAACAGAAATTTACTTACTAATGGTAATATGACTAACGTAACGTACAAATAAACTTACAATTTCACGGCTAATCGATCGAGTAATGGAATACTTCACTAACTACTCAATTACTGAAAGCATTGAAACTGACTCACTGCACCATTGATTCCCATATTCATCATCTATCCTTTTTTAGATATTTTGTAAAGTCTCTCGATCATTAGCATTTATGAACATTTCAGGTATTCTAGGAGTACTTTTATAAACTTTTTAAATCTAGTGTCGTTATCATGTTAGCAGCTCCCACTTGCAAACAACTAAAATCATTAAAATATTGAAAATATACCTTACGAGAGTATGGTCGTAGAGTCTGTCCACAACACACCATTCTATACCACTAACAATTATTTCTCTATACCTTTCCATTTCTGAATTATTTGCCTGTCACTGGACTTCTGAAGCACCATGCGTACACACAGAGGTATATACTGTTATACAGTGTTGGAATTAGTAATGAAAGTGGATATCAAATGCAAATGCTATGGGATTGCTTTCCTCTATATAGTATGAAAATGAGCTGAAATCCAACTAGTAAGACAGTGCCATACCTATAAAAGTACAAACAGACATAGCATTTTATGCAATGGAATGGTTAATGGACTCTTGGCTCCAATGATAGAAATGGCACATGAAAAGTGAATAAATCATTGTTTTAATTGATGAAGTTCGCTTCACGCAACAAACGAACGCAAAATTTCATGATTAAAAAGAAGATGTATAGAAATTCTGAAGAGTATATGTGTGAAAGTAGTTCTGTTAATATTAGATATGGTCAAGGTAGAAAATCCAAAATTTTCAAAAGTAATGTTAAATAACTCAGGGTATGCCTTTTACATGCAGTGACGGACTAGGAGTGCAAATTGGCTCTAGTATTTTAATGCACACCTGCCCACTTTGAGGTTGTGGTGCCTATACTCATTATCACAGAAGAATGCAGAATTTGCGAAAATAAAGAAAATCTATGAACTGTACTGATTGAATTCGTTTTAAATAATTTTGTGTAAGCACCAGTGTCACTTCTGAATATACTCACTATTATATTCTTACATTATTTTCTGATGCTAATCTCTTCAGCTTGTTCCACTGCAATACTACATTGAATGATTTACATCGTGAATTTTCCACTGTGACTCTATCGTCAATCTTGAGCAATCATTTGATGAATTTTTCCAGTGCCAATTTCTGAAATCCATGATCTCTTATGTCAGAAAGGTTTCTATGGTCCAGCCAAGCAAGGTTGGTGTAGAGTATCCTACTGGAGAGAAAATGGCGAAACATGCCCTGTGTCGAGGATTACGTTGTGGACTTGAATCTTTTAGTTGTAACAGTATTAGATATTTGTCCATCATAAGCGGACTCGCCTGCCATGGTTTTCTTCTCCTCTACCCTCTTTTCAGGCTTAGTCGACTGTGCCATCTTGTCGTTTTCCCACTCTACAAAATTATCTGTAAGGTTCTTAACAACATCAAAATATCTATCAAGCATTTTGAACTCCTCCTTTGTTCTAGTCACTATCTGATGAGTTTTTAAGAGCTCCGTTTTACTAGTTTGACAGTTTTGAAGTCGATTCAAATATGCGCATGAAAATATAAATTGTGACAGCTATCTCATATTTAAGTACCGATTTTTTTTATAAGCTTTCATCTTTAAGCGCACATTAGATTAGATCTCCAATTGTTTTGAATCCTTGCTAATGTGACAATAATGTCAACGTATAAATCATAATTTGGTTTTGAAAATAAACCATATCTTTTTCTCAATGCTATATCTTTAGAACACCAGCGAGTTTCGACGATCATAGAAAGTCTTCGATGGTGAATATCCTGACTAACATTTTCCCAAATACTTTTCTGTTGCCACGACTCCCAGTTAAATACTGTGATGTCATTCATCAAACTGAATAGCGATGCACTTGCAATGATAACCTCTGTAGTAACTGCTAGTACTAATTTCAGTACATGTGCATATCACCAGATATGAATTTGGCCAGGGACTCTATCGGAAGCCATGCAGTGAAGCCTTTATATCGTCCTGGCATATATGCTGTTTCATTATATGTCAGTTTTGTAGGTCTCGAGAATCCTTATTAGTTATTGAAACAAGTCCTGGTCAGCTGAACATCCCAGCCTCTCTCAACTTATTTGCAACAGTCTCCTGAATAAGCTGTCGATAACAGTATTAATCATTGTTTTGGTGAGCAAAGTTATGAGTGATCCTCTTCTCTTTCCTTCCAGCGAATGCAACTTCTTGCTTTTTTAGTGTTTTTGCAGACAAACACAGTACTTACTAAGAATAGAACAAATATAAAAAAATGGTCATGACCTTCTGATTTGTTCCCCCATAGCTGAGTGTGCACTTTCCTATCACTCTTACAATTTCTTTCACTCACTCCAGAACTTTCCGCCTTTTTTGTATTTGTTCTTAGCGTACAGACTTTTGACTATGAAATAGTAACTTATCGTTAATTTTGCTGCTATCATTCAAAAAGTAAGCTTCTGTATGCCCTCTGTGCCTGACATTTTTCATGTTATTCGATCCTCTGACGAATATGCCACCAGTGTTTCATTCAATAAACAGATTTGTTACAGAAGTCTTAATAAATGCCAGGCAGACTGAGAAAAATGCATTTTGTTCTGCGCAGTAGGTCAATTCTATCCTTGCAAAGAAATTTTATAGGATCACTTATCTTTTCTTTTGGGAGATAATTTTAAAAAATAACTGATGAGCATTAGGATGCAAAGCAGTTGAAGGTATATTTTGTGCAAAACTACTTGAGGGCTATCTGCGCTATGCGTTTATAATTTTGAAGTGATAGACCAGTCAACACCACCAACTTCTGGGCTACTCTAACTGAATAAGAAGATATGATCACTATTATAATGTACTCACTGCTCGAAAATGTGGAGCGCAGTTTTATATTTATTTATTTTTGTGGTAGTGCAGTGCAAACCGTGGAACTTCAGAGTCATAGTCCGGTGCACTAGCATTGTCCATATTTGTGAATGTTTTATGGTGTGATAATTAGTTAACTTGTTGGTGCCTTGTTTTGCTTGAATGATTTCTTGCCATATAGTAAATTGAACCAACATCCTAGCTATACCATGATTAGGTTAAAATTAGAAAAGAGCCCCTTCTAGCATGGGTATGTACTACAATCTTTGTATTTAACATTTCTGAGAGCAAAGGCTACTCAGTTCGTTCGCCCTGCTTTTAAGTATTTTGTTTTACATATGTTGGATGTATAAGGCTGTTTAATGTGGGTGTTATCATTTAATTTATTTTGTGAGTTAATATTTAATGATTGTTTAGTTTCATAACAAGTGTGTTAAAAATTAATCATTTTAAAGGCGATAGTTATGTCAAGTTTGGTTGCGTAATTCGGTAAGAGTCGTACATTCTGTGTGTGTGGTTCAATTGTTGACGCCAAGTTACTCGAACCTTCAGTAGTATTATTACTTTAAAGCATTGCTCGCGTAGTTTACAGAAAGTTCGATGCCTCAGTTGGGCAACATATAAATATAGGCGACCAAGCCAGCACAAGTGAATTGAAGTAAAGTGAAGTGAAAAAAAGTTCAGTTCAGTCAGAAAATTAGTTAGGGAAAGAAAGCGTGAAGTTAGCCAGTGTGTGAGTGATTAGCCATAACAACCAATATTTTAAAGTGAGTTTCACAATTTAACAGAGATAAGGAGAATATTGTTACGTCTCTGTTCGTTTGTTAATTTTCCGTAAAAATTCTTTCCGAAGAAACTTTAGCGATACAAGTTCTTTCTTAAATAAAACTAGTTGATTCTTTCTCAATACAACTTTGCAATACACTTAATTTCCACAGTCATGCTATAACTTAACCAAATGCTATAATTCACAACGAATGATTCACGCGCATGACGCAATTGTCCGTCTCTGTCTCTGTCTGCAATTCAATTCCATTGTTGCCGTCACTTCTTGGCGGTCTTATATACAAGAATACCGCACATCTAGTAAACACTCGAGGCTTCACGAATGGACATGAATTTTCTAGAAGCTCATGACGTGTTACTAGCGTCATATGACTTCCGCTGTCGTAACAATACTTTTCCTTGTCAAAGGGTGTTCTCTAGTAATTGAACCCGTATCCGTGGACTTTACGAAAATGTGACAATTATTTGAAGTTCAGGATATAACTGTTGTAACGCACAGGGTAGCGTAAGTGAATTATTCACTGATACTATTGTGATAAGAGTAGAGAAAAATAATTTGTTTTATCAATTGGATTCTAAGTTAATTGAATCAGCCTAAGTGGATATTTGACAAGAAAAGATAATTATTTAGAGTTTGAGATACTGTGATATCCATAGTATAAATAATTTTTGTACTTAGTTTGACTTATTATTTTATAACTTTTTTATTTAGTTTTGACTTATTATTTTATAACCAGTAGAGTTTGTGCTGTCCGTTTATTGTCGAATTTATCGCCAAAAAGTCACAGACACCTACTGTAGAAGAATCCTTAGCCCACATATACATAAAACCCTGACAACATGAGTTTTTTAACGTAGTGAGTTGTTTGAGGTCTTTGCTATTTGATGAATTTACATAGAAAACTGTACGCAACTATTCCGTATTTGATGGCTAGTTCGGGCCTGCTTACATGATACACAAAAATCCACTAAAGATCTACAGTGAAATATGGTAAGTGGCCACTAAAAGTGTGGGCAACATGTCAACTAATGGTGTTGGAGGTGTACAAAAAAATTGATGACGTCCTGGCTACCTACAGTTAAAAGCATATTTTTATCTACCACGTAATTCCCTCAGGAATAAATTATTGGGCAGTCAATCAGATTTTAGAAAGGCAGTGATTTAAAGCAAACATGTGGTTTCATGATTCATGGAAAGAAAAAGAGGCTGATGAGATTCGTAATCATGGATTGACTTGCACAAAGTTCTGAAATGAATGTTATTAAGACTGTATAGACTTATGTGAAAATTGAGCAGATCAAATAGCAACCAAATAACTTGACTGAATTGTGAGGAATAATTCAAGAAATTTGGAACAATATTTTACAATGATACCATACTTTGACAAACTTATGATAGAATGGAAAAAAGATGTACTGCTCTGTTTCAACAATTAATACGAAATACTACTGTTTTCTACAAGTTATTTACTTTTGTATTTTGTGTGATAATGTTTTGTACTAATGGTCATTTGAGCATTTATCTGCAATTACTCATTGTTTTTGATCTTGTGTGTGTAGATATATATATATATATAATAGAAAACAATATCTCCAATCCGAACCCCCCCCCACCACACACACACACACACCCCACCCCCACCCAGTGGCACAGCAGTATGCCTACGGACTTACAACGCTATAAACCTGGTTTCGATGCCCGTGGTGGACGGAACACAGATTGCTCATTGTGTAGCTTTGTGCTTAACTACAAACAAACAAATCTCCAATTGATTCATAAACTGTCGTTTTTTATCGTCATTTTCATCAGAAGAGGAACAATACTTAACAATATGTAAACAGTCATAAGATATTCTGAATTGGGCAACATTTGAATTTTCGAATTTATTTAGTTTGTTTCTAAAATTTACCTTACTATACATTTATATATTATGTTGATTTTCCGTTATTATGAATGATAAAAAATAAAAAAAATGTGTAAAAAATAAAGAAATCACAAGCATATTAAAAAAACTATTCTTTTTATTTCTCTGAATAATAGTCTGCAAAATCAACTTTGTTGCTTTGCTCTTGGCTTAGAGTTAAAAAAAAAGAACGTATTGAATATATTTCATTGGTATTTTTTGTGTTTATATTTTAATATGTCAAATATTATGTTGATATGTAAAGTTGAATTTGAATAAGTTCCATATCACTACAGGTATAATAATATATTTACCTGGAGAGTGTTTTAAACTTCATTTGTGATCTACGTGGTTAGGCCTAGACTTTCATCTAATCTATTCCTACGAATTTTATCGGTATCACGTCAGAGTACAGACAAGCTACAGTTATGTTTTTTTTTTTTCAATTTTCAGTAATAACCTTGTTTACGAACTCAGGAGACATTAACTGAAGAGTAACAACATTAAAGATTTGGGTTAATGTGCAGAATAGAATTAATTGATTAAGCCACTAAATCAATGAAATTTATCGATTTTGTTTTCTCGAACGGTAAACCCAGTTTTGTCATTTTATTCATTTTTAGTAACATCTCACAATGTTCAATAAAATTTTCTATTATAATCTGAGCCTTTATGGGGTAAGACAAAATGGTTTATGATCTTAATCATTTTTTATTTTATTGAATGTAATGTTGAGTTGAAGTGTAATTTAACTTGGTTTCATTAAGAGCAGTTGTTCAACTTTAAGAAAGAATATTAATTTATAGACCTGTTGGCTGCATACCAAAAATGATTTACTTTTTACGTGGAATACGTTTATCTGGTAGTATTTATGGACGTAAGATTATTCATCAAAGTGTACAAACTTCAGAACACAACTGGATGAGATGCTCCACAAGTACCATTTATGCACTGTCTTCTTTTCCTGGAAGAGCTGCTGTTGCAGTCATCAGGGTATCTGGACCTCAGGTTATCATGGTGTTGAAAAGTCTTGCAAGGTTCAAAAACATTCCAGAACCTCGTAAGTTGTTTTTAAAAAAAATTTTTGATCCAGTTAATAATAAAATGCTTGATCGAGGTTTAGTCGTGTGGTTTTCGAAACCAAAAAGTTTCACAGGAGAAGACTGTTGTGAGCTACACATTCATAGTGGAACAGCTGTAATTATGTCTGTGCTCCAAGCTTTAGGTAAACTTCCTAAAACTAGGCCTGCTGAGCCTGGTGAGTTCACAAAAAGAGCATTTTTAAATGGTAAGTTAGATCTAACTGAAGTTGAAGGTATAGCAGACCTTCTAAATGCAGAAACAGAGGCTCAACAGCAACAAGCTCTTTCACAGATGGAGGGTTGCTTATATAATTTGTATTCTGGTTGGAAAGAGAGGTTAAAGATATGCTTAGCTCATGTTGAAGCATTCATTGATTTTAGTGAGGATGAAAACATTGAAGATGGTATATTGGATCTAACATTAAAATCTGTACAGTCTGTGTTCAATGAAATTGAAAACCATCTCGCAGATAATAGACGTGGAGAGCGTTTGCGTAGCGGTGTTAAGGTGGTTATTGTAGGAGAGCCTAATGTTGGGAAAAGTAGCCTTTTAAATTTAATTTGCCAAAGAGAAGTAGCCATTGTATCACCACTTTCAGGAACAACTCGTGATGTCATTGAAGCAGCATTAAACATTGGTGGTTATCCCGTATTGGTTTGTGACACAGCTGGCCTTCAGGAAACTGAGGATTTAGTTGAACAAGAAGGTGTAAAAAGAGCTTTTCAAAGATTGCAACAAGCTGATTTAATCATATATGTAAAGCATTGTTTGGAGTTCATAGAACAGAAAAATATAGGTGAACTTGTAAACAATATATATAAACCAACATTTTTATCTGCAGTTGATGCAAATAATGTTGATAGTCAAAAGAACTTAAGAAGTGAGGATGCAGAACTTTTGAAGAATTCAGAAGTAATTGTAGTAATAAACAAGTCTGATCTTTTACCAGAAGAGATAATAAAGGAAAACCTGAAGCAAAAACTTGAAAAAGAATGCATTTCATGTAGTTTAATTTCTTGTAAGACAGAGTATGGTTTAAATAGTTTTCTTAGTCTTCTTCAAAACAAAATTAAAAAACTTTGTTGTGATTCTAGAACTTTCAAACCATCTCTTACTCAGGACCGCCATCGCTTCCATTTGGTTAAGTGTCAGAAATATCTAAAAGAGTATATATTTGAAGAGGAGACTGATATAGCAATAAAAGCTGAAAAGTTAAGAAAAGGTTTGATAGAGTTAGGCATGATTACAGGTCATGTTTGTACTGAAGAAGTTTTGGATGTTATTTTTAAAGATTTTTGTATTGGAAAATAGGAAGCTTTTTATTAGCAGTAACGAATTAAATGTGCAAAAATAAAGGAATGACAATGTTTATAAAGTTTAGAGGTACTTCTTCTAATCTTCAGTTTCAAAATTATTATCAAACACATTTATCCACAAAATTGTTTAACAGTCAAATATACTACATTGATTTTGTGGAAAAGAGAAAATAATTTAGGCATTGTTAATATATAGCCTTAAGAGCCTTGTAATTAGTATTTAGCTGTGGTGGTGAAAATGGAAAAGATATTATCATTTCTATTTAAATAGATTGTAGCCTTTTGAAGTAGTTTGTGCAGTTTTGTTCCTGTTAGTAGAGGAAAGATATCGGTGTGTTATAAAGTGTACAAAGGTGGGCTACTTAAACCATGCAAGCTGTGAGAAAAAAATGTAGTGTTTGAGAATATTTTGAAATATAAAAGAATTAAAATGACAAGACTATATCATTGAACCATCCCTCATTAAAACAAGAATACCAAAACACTAATTTAAGAGCCTTCTATTTTAATTCGAAATTGTAAACAAACTTAACGTCAATATATTTAATCAATAAAATGCTGAAATAATTCAAACAAAACAAACCCTTAATGTTCAAGTTTGTATTTCTAAGGTCTTTATTCCACGACTGACACATATAATAAGAGGATTATCCAACCCTTTAACTATTTGAAGTGCCTGAATCAAGTTTCTTTTCGTTCTATGCCTTGAAGAAAGTAAATCCACAAAGTTTCACAGTAGAAATTACTTTAAATTATACAAAGGAAAGTCTGTGCACTCTTTCCAACATGCTGTAGAAAAGGAGACAAAAACTGCAAACAGTGTTCCAAATTAGGCTTCATCAAAGTTTTGCACAAGGCTGTAATAACCATCTTTTTCTTTCTAAGTCATTCAAATAGAACCAATAACTCTGGTCTTTTCAACAATAAAAATAAAAACTTTTTTATAATTTTTTCTTTGTTTTGTACAACAACAATGCCTCTCATTTCTACATTTCCTAACCCCAAATTTATAGTTCTCAATAATAAAAGTTTTCTTCCACATTATAGAATCTGTATACTGTGATTATTAAAATTGTTTTGGAAACATTCTCAACAGAATTAGCTCTTCCTAGTATATGCATCAGAGAATCTGGAATTAATGCTGGCTAAAATGCCTTTCAAATTTATAACATAAGTAATTTAGGTCCCAAAACAGACTTAAGAGGTACCCCAGAAAATGCATATTGATTATTACTATTTGTATTATTCTTCAGAAAATCAATTTTCAATATACTTCTTGAATTTTAAACCAATATTATGAGTATCTGACTTATTAATCTTTTGTGAGACATGTTATGAAAGCCTTTTTTGAAGGTCAAGCCACATCATCTAAAAAGATGGCAGCTGAATCAAAACATACCAACTTTTAATACCAGCTTTCCAGATGCTCTTTAAGTATTTTGGAAAGATTCCCTTACTAATAACAGAAATTAGACAAAAATGGGGATTCTCAAACTGAAGGGTAAATGTGGTTTCAGGGGTACTATAGTTCATGAAAAAAATATTCACTTCTAAATGATCATGACATCTAAAAAGGAATGGTTTAACAGCAAAAGGTGGTGATTGTAAGGAGCCCAAAAGAGACAGTAGTAACCTAAATGAGAGTAAATTACATTATTCAAAATCTCTTAAATGATAAATGATGTACTTGCTTTGATTTTTACTACAGTAGATGGAAGCATAAAACCCTTATTTTAAGCCTAGAAATGTTCATAAATCCTCATAACTTGAACTGTATCTTTTTTTTCACTTCATTTTTATGTTTATAACTCTCCATTTTAGCATCTTCCATGTTATGAATTCAGAAACAAATGTCCCTATTGATAACACAAAGTGTTTATTCTCAGAATTACAACAAAATTATATGTTCTATATTATGAGAGAAGTCATCATTACAAGCATAATTCTTCCCATTGTGCATTATCATTGGTACCACTTTAATGTTGTCTTTATCACCATCTTGTAGGTGAAATTTTTGTTTTTATAAGCTAGGCACATTTAATTTATTAGAAGTTTAATTTTTGTATTTATCCATGCAAGAAATAATTTTTAGTTGGAACTTAAACATTTGGTAAGAATACAGACATTCCTTCTGATTATTTTTATTGAACCAAGAAAAACGTTCCAAGCTTCAGTAACGTTCACCCCATTAGGATTAGCCACCCAATTTTTTCTACAGTTTTTGACTGAGGCAATTACCCTAAGATTAAAGTATTTCATAATAGTAAAACTGTAGCCCTGTTTGTTTTGGCATTATAACTTAACATAGTCCTTTAAGTATCAACAATCTTACTGAAGAACTATACAAAACGTTGATAAGGAACCCCCCCCACTCTTCCAGAAATGTCTCCCAGTGGCACAGCGGTATGTCTGCGGACTTACAATGCTAGAAATCGGGTTTCGATACCCGTGGTGGGCAGAGCACAGATACCCCATTGTGTAGCTTTGTGCATAAATTCAAACAAACAAACAAACTTTCAGAAACCTCAAATTCACTCTCCCATTTATTTCGAACCACGTGATATTATGTATCTCAAATGCTTTCAGCTCAATTGTAAAAGGAAAACCCTCTCATCCTGTTTTATTCAACCACTTTCAAAGAAACACTTTAAAATTGGCTGAAATATATCTTCATAATGTTAAATTAAACAAGATTCAATGAAACCAGTTATATCTACCATGCATATTCAAGAAGCTTATTACAAAGATTTCTGTCATTGCACTGTATAAAAGAAAATAAGTTTATATTCTACAACCTTATTAGTATTAATTAATGATATATTAACTAATTTATCCTTTAATATCTGAGATCCATGGTACAGTTTTTCACCGTCTAAGGATTTCCTTTATTGCTATTTAATGTTAGTTTAAACAACCTAATAAAGTAATTTATAGCTTCCCTAAACATTTTCTTAACCAGCTTAGTTGGAGGCTATCACTTGCACCCACCCAAACTAAAACCTATCCTACAAATCCAACCAGCTTAACAGTTTATTCAG